TCAAGTGCTGGTCCCCACAGGAAGTTCTCCCACTTTAGAAGTAAGCAAAGGACAACAGAGTAGCTCCAGTGTAGAGTTTAAGTGGTGGGGTAGCTAATAATCCAACACAGAAGTGAAAGAAAACACAAAAACCCACAGATCAGAGACAAAGTTCTAATATTAACCAGTAAAGTTCTAACACCAACAGAGAATACCTATAAAACGTAGGACAGGAAGCCCCCCGAACCCCTGAGCTGGGGTGGGGAGGGTATGAGGGCCTCAGCCATGCCCCAGCACCCTCTGCACTCAGGCCAGCCCCGCCCCCACCTCCACCTCCATTTCCCTACCCCCCCACCTGCCCCTCCCACTGCTCCAAAACAACATCTTTGAAGGTAAAATAATAATAATAAATAAATAATTTTTTAAAAATTAAATAAAAAAGAAAGATAATAGCGGTCATAATGACTGTGAAGTTGTATTTCATTGTGGGTTTTTTGGTTTGGTTTTGTTTTTGATTGTACATATTTAAGGTATACAACATGATTTTTTGATATTGTGTTTATGATTTACATTTCCCTAATGATTATGATGTGAAACATCTTTTTGTGTGCTTTTTGGACATTTGTATATCTTTGGAGAAATGTCTATTCAAGTTGGTTGTTTGGGGGTTTTTTGTTTTCATTTTTGAGAGGCTGCTTTTAATATAAATCTTTTTTGGGTGTCTTTTTTTTTAAAAAAAAGAACTAAGGGCAGGTGTGAAATAGATGAAAATGTTAGCAGCTGTAGAATTATTGAATAGCTTTATTCTGGGTAAAAATATAAATCCAGATAGATAAATCTGCTGTTAGACAGCCTTACAAATGGAGGACACACTCTTACCCAAGAGCTGCCAAGCCTTAGAGCCAAGCACTTACCTGCTGGAAGCTCGATGGAAGAAAAAAATATCACTTAGAAGGGAGTCCCAAAGGGACCCAAGTCAATCACTGGCATTCACTGCTGAGTTCATGACTCATATTTCCAAAATGTCCACCAAACATTC